GAGATGAAGTGCCTTTCTCGTTACATCATATCAGGTGCACATGCTATCCATGACTTATCATTGGTGATGTCAAACTCCATCACTTGGTTAAGGTTTGCAGAATTTCTCCACTCTCAGGTGCCCCACCCCTTCCCTTCCCACACTCTATTCTTTGCAAGCAAATCATTAAGTGAGGCCCACACACAAAAAGTTAGAGAATTAACCTCCACCCCGTAAAGGGGGCAGCATAAATTATTTGAAAGCCTTCTATAAAGAAGATTTGTCTTTTTTCTCCCATTTATTTATTTATTTATTTATTTATTTATTTATTTATTTATGTCAGTATGGATTCATGGATATTTATTTTATACTTTATATTTTAATCCAGTACTGCATTATTTATTTTGTTCCTGAAATTGTTCCATCTTTGGGAGCTCTCTTGGGTTCCTCTGACCCTTTGCCATGCCCCCATTATTTTGTTTTTTGAGCGCTTCTTTACTTTCTGGCACTGTTACAAGATGCTCCAGGCTCATCTTTTATCTTCTCTTTCCCAGACAGAGTCAGACATTTCCCTAAGACTCTGTGATTCATTTTATTGGAGAATAATATTAGAAACCAAGATCTGGGTGCTAGACCAAGGAATTTTGAAGGTACTTCCAGCTCTAAACCTTTAGGTTTCTAGACGGAGGATAAGAATAACTAAAAGTGATTAGCTTTTGTGGAGAATAAAATGAGATCTGCTATGAATACTAATCAGGTGTTTTTCCCTCCTCTCTTTGGTTTCTGATAATGTGTTTGTTTTTCTTGCCCCCTCCCTCCCCACCCCTACTCAGCAGAAGACATCTGTGGGCTTTTGCCACCCACTGCCTTGTACCCTTTTGCTGGTAAAGTAATATCCAGAATTTTCTTTGTGAAACCCCCAACCTTTATTCTCATCCCATATGACTCCAGTAGGGTTAACCCCACCAGCTCCAGTGTTGGGCCCTGATTGAATTAAATTAATGAATACATTCCATGTTTTGGCCTTTGTAATTGGTGCAGGGATGGGCCTATGGCCTTTAGGACCAATGGGAGTTGGGCCCAGGACTTTTAATTTGTTATTGAGTGTTAAAGAAAAATTCTTCTGACACTTGTTTAAAATGACAAGGAAGACTTTATTCAAGGCTGTTGCACTAGGGGAGAGAGACTAAACTCAACTCCAAATACAGCAAAGGCAGCTGGGGATTTATAGCCAAGGAACAGAGTGAGGGAATGGGTGAGAAATTACTCGATTTCTCACCCTAATGAGAGGAACTCGATTAGATATCAAGGGTAGGGGGATTTTTGCTAAAGGCAAGCCAAAATGGAGACCTAGTGGAGAAGAGGGCTCAGAGGAGATTGACTAAAATCTAATCTAGACAATGACAGAGTCTTTGTCAGGGGGCAGGGAGGCTCTCTCTTCTCTGTTGGTCTCAAGTTGGGCTAGAAACCATCTGAAAACCAGGAAGAAGATGCCCAAAACTGCTTTGCATAGAGGAGTAGTGCCAAAATATAGAGAAGGAAGAAGCGTCTCCTGATGGCATCTTTTGAGTACCTGAGTCAGGCTACACCTGAAGGCCACTCCATTCCTGAGCTATTCAGTAGTACAAATCCATAAGCCCCATGGCAATAAAAATGCCTGATGGCTGCCCTGTTCCTCTTTCCCTCCAGGAATGTAAGTCAGGTTCATCTCCCACTGCCCCATGTCCCCTTTTTCTTCCTCCTACAAGGAAGATCAAGCAATCGAGTCATCTACATAGACAAGGGCACGTTAGCCCCAGACTCAGATGACCCAAGCAGCCTTGTTACGGACCACACAGTAACCTGGGGAGCTGCTGAGCCAGCGCTGTGATTGATGACTTGCCTTCCTCTATCAGGATGCTGGTTTTAGCAGAGGGGTGAGGAAAGCATCACACAGAATCATAGAGTTAAGGTCTGAGCTGAGAGGAGTCTTAAAGATCCTGTAGTTAAATCTTCTCATTCTCAGATATGCAGACCCAACTGCAGAGAGGGTGAGTGACTTGCCCCAGGTCACACAGTAATTTAGCAACAGAGGCTGGTCAAGAACCCACATCTCCTGACTCTGATTCTAGTTGCTTTTTCTATTCTGCATGTTCTTCCCCAAAGATGAGATGTTTCCTCCCCACCCCTTTCTCCTTGTGTCCTCCATGATTCTTGCAAGAGTTGACCCTAAGCAGTGATCTCACATCCTGCTATGAAATGTCCATGGCACACCAAATACTCCCAGGCACCCATCCATCCCAACCTCCACTTCTTTCTCCAATGCATCTTTCCTCACCCACACCCTGACCTCCACCCATCCCTCTGCCACTGCCCCATTGCAGCCCTCATGGGGTGCCACATTGATAGTGGCAGGAGGCAGTCAAATGCCTAGGCGGATAGGGGCAGATCCCTGGTGAAACCCCACCTCCAAGCCAAAGACAATTTAAAACCTGAAAGCCAACCTGCAAGTCAAATTCACAGACTGGATTTAGAACCTGTCTTCCATTTGGTATGCTTTCCTCTTATTGATCCCCACCCTTCATCTATTTTACATATACCTATACTTTCCTAATTGGTTTTTTACACTGTCGTGCCCACCTTTGAGTGGTGCCTTTGTTTTAACCTTTTTTGCATACTCGCAAAGCAATCAGCATGTACTCCCCTATTCTGAGCCCATAAGAGCCCCAGACTCAGCCACACTGGGAAAGAAGCCACCTAACTTCGGGTAGGGGACCACTCCTGCATCCTCTCTCTCCTGAGAGCTATTCCGTCACTCAATAAAATTCTCCGCCCCCTCACCCTTCAACTCTCAGTGTATCCTCATTCTTTTTAGACATGGGACAAGAATCTGGGACCCACTGAATGTGGGTAGGAGCTACAACACAGGCAGGCTAGCGCACACCCAGCCCTGCTGTGGGCTAAGCTGATGGACAAGCCAGGTATGTCCAGGGCAGGCCGAATGGGCGGACCACCTCCTGCAGCAGGTAGTGTGCCCAAGCAAGGCCTAGGTGGGGGTGTCACCAGCCAGAGGTCCCCAGCTGGCAAAGTGACCAAGAAAAATCCTGCATCAACATCACACCCCACCCCAGTTCAATAACCCAACTCAAGTCAACAGCACTGACAGATTTGAGCACCTGCTACCAGGCATCATGCTGACAGCTTCCCATCGCCCTGACCCTGTGACCCTCACAGGAAGAGTTTATTGCTTTGTTAGCCAAGCCCTTCCTTCTAGGTCTACACATGCCCACACACCTCTGCTGCTGCTTCTCCAAGAGCCCTGGGGCTATTATTTCTTCTTCTTACCTCTTCAGGTAGAGGAACTGAGGATCTAAAAGGTTAAGTCAACACCTCAAGGTCACCCACCTGACCCTAAGACACCCTAAGGGCCCCTGTGGAAAGAGCAAAGGGATGCCATAGGTCCCCTCCCTCCCACTGCCCTTGTCTGTGGAGATGTGTGACCTCCAGGTACAACCCCAGCTGCAATCCCCTCCCCCTCTATAAATCCTTCCTGGCCATTGTTCACACACACCTGTAATAAGCTCAGAGCTCTACTGAGTAAATGTCACCCAGAGCCCCAGGGTAGTGCCCAGGAGCAATCAAAGACTCTGAATGAAATGCAGCCCTGCTCCCAGATTGTGACTGACTCGCCTGACAATAATTAGTTCATGATGTCTGAAGTGCATCTTATTCTCTTGAGGCTCTGCAGTAATTACAAGGTGGTATGTTATTAAAATGATTTATGGAGACTAAAAGCTTTGGATGAAGATCTCAGTGGTGAGAATACTGGGCCCACATTGAAGAATTTGCATGAACTCACAGTTTAGATCTAAACCCCAGACCTGTGATGGCCTCCGGCTCTCTGCCCCTGACCACTGCACTCACTGCCCCTCCCCTCCCAGTGTCCATCTGTTCAGCCTGTAGGTCTCATCTCCACAACCACCCTGGGAGGGAGGGGATAATGAAAGCACTATCCCCACTTACAGATGAGGAAAGGGCCCAGAGAGGGGAGGCAACTTGTCCGAAGTCACAGAGCAGGGAAGTGGTGAAGCCAGGATGGGAAGCCCTGTAGGCCTGACTCCTCCTCCAGGACACCCTTCCCTCTTCCCCTCCCAACCTCCCCCGTGAAAGTTGAGGGATGAGACTGGGGGTCTCTCCTCCCAATAAGCAGTGCCCTAGGCAACAGGGGAGCCTCCATCCCTCAATATCTCCTGCCTGGTGGCCAAGCTCCTCCTAGGTTTACACCACACCCTCCCTTCTCCCCCTCTGAGCCCCAGGGCTGTTACCTCCTTAACCCATTTATGTACCTGCTTTAATTATTATCTTCAAGGAGAGGCTCAATCAGGAAATAACACAAAAGACTTGTTGCTGATAATTGAAGGCTCCTGCCTCCCTGGATGCAAATGGAGGGGCTGCTGCAGACCCTGTAATAACATGCCTCAGCCTGCATCAGGGCCGAACACCTCCCCACACATGGTGCATCTCCCTGTCCCACAGGTGCTGGGACCTGGGCAGCATCTCACAGGTACATCTCCCTATCCTGCAGGTCCTGGGACCCGGGCAGCATCTCACAAGTGCATCTCCCTGTCCTGCAGGTGCTGGGACCCGGGCAGCATCTCACAGGTACATCTCCCTGTCCTGCAGGTCCTGGGACCCGGGCAGCATCTCACAGGCGCATCTCCCTGTCCTGCAGGTGCTGGGACCCAGGCAGCATCTCACAGGTGCATCTCCCTGTCCTGCAGGTGCTGGGACCCAGGCAGCATCTCACAGGTTCGTCTCCCTATCCTGCATGTCCTGGGACCCCGGCAGCATCTCACAGGTACATCTCCCTATCCTGCAGGTCCTGGGACCCGGGCAGCATCTCACAGGTGCATCCTGCATGTCCTGGGACCCCGGCAGCATCTCACAGGTACATCTCCCTATCCTGCAGGTCCTGGGACCCGGGCAGCATCTCACAGGTGCATCTCCCTGTCCTGCAGGTGCTGGGACCCGGGCAGCATCTCACATCTCCCTGTCCTGCAGGTGCTGGGACCCAGGCAGCATCTCACAGGTGCATCTCCCTATCCTGCAGGTGCTGGGACCTGGGCGGTGTCTCACAGTGGGAGGTGCATAAGCTCGGGAGACAGCCAACTTTGCTCTGCATCCCACTCTGCCACTTACTAGATGTCAGGCTTAAGTTAGGTTACCCAACCTTTCTGAATCCCAGTTCCCCCACCTATAAATAAGAAATAATACTGTTAGAACTCATGTTTCCCCTCAAAATACCAGAGAACTAAGTTCAATTATTTGGAAGCCAGGCAAGGATACTGTGAAAGGAAAATAGAATCTCAGAACCCCGGCCAGGCACGGTGGCTCAAGCCTGTAATCCCAGCACTTTGGGAGGCCGAGACGGGTAGATCACAAGGTCAGGAGATCGAGACCATCCTGGCTAACCCGGTGAAACCCCGTTTCTACTAAAAAACACAAAAAACTAGCTGGGCGTGGTGGTGTGCACCTGTAGTCCCATCTACTTGGGAGACTGAGGCAGGAGAATGGCGTGAACCCGAAAGGTGGAGCTTGCAGTGAGCTGAGATCCGGCCACTGCACTCCAGCCTGGGTGACAGAGGGAGACTCTGTCTCAAAAAAAAAAAAAAAAAATTCTCGGAACCCCAAACTCAGTATGCCAAAGGGAAAAGTTACACTTGGAAGCTGGGTCATGCAAAAACTGCTGTTCTCTGCGTTCCTAAACAGATAGCTACAAGATAAAAGTCCACGTGTCTCCCCGGGTGGCCTTCCTCTCCCTGATGATGTTAACAGCTTATTTTCATGGGTGTGGGCCAAGAGGAGACTAGGAACCATGCCACCAACCACCCCAAGACGAACACATATTTGATTTCTTTCTCCATTCTATGTTTGTTTTATAGAACGTGCAGATTTTCTGAGCAGGAGACAAATACGTAATGGACTGTTCCTCTACCCTGCCCTTTTCACAGGCAACGTGTGGATTTGGTGAGTGCCCATCAGGGCCCCGCGAGAATGTGACCACACTCTCCCTCTTTTTCGTTCTTTTCCTTCTTTCCCCTCCTGCTTGCTTTTTCCGCTTAAATATTGAAGCCCTCAAAATCCCCTTTGGAAAAAGTTCAGACCGCAGATCCTACTGTGGCTTGAGTCTCATTTTCCCCAGCACACCCTCAACCTTGGCAAAATACACATGTAAATTGAGACGCGCCTCAGTCATTTTCTTTGGTTTACGACATGGCCCTTTTGCTGCTCAGTTGCCAGCGCCCAGCAAGCAGTAAGATGAGCGTAAATGTTCTGCTCACCTGCCTTCTTGCTGCTGTGCCCTCGCCTCGCCGGCCAAGATAGCGAGCAGGGTTCGGATCCCTCCCGGTGGACCCTGCTTGTCCAGATTCCCTGTGAGCTGTTGACAAAGGCTCATCCACTACATCTGGTGCTCCAGGATCATGAAACACTCGATTCAGCCAGGGGAACCTGGCAGGGCCCCTTCTATTTCTGTAGCGGCCAGTCTGACTCAGGTGACCCCAGGAGGGGCTGAAGCCGATTGGAAAAGTCACCTCATTGGGGTGGAGACTGGAGAGGGTCAGGGTAGTAAGGCAGGTGAGCTCAGCAAACCTGGAAGCTGGGTTGTATTACACGTAATTCAATGTGGGGAGCATCCCTGGAGGATTCCTGCTTTTTCCCACAGTTTTCTGGTACCAGAAAATGTCTTCCTCACAGAGCACCAGCTGCCTCTGCAGGCAAAGGGGGTGAGTCGCAGCAGTTGCAGGGAGCAGGGGATCTCAATGGCCAGTGGGAACCAGGTTGGACCCACCTGCCCAGCCCCTTAGTTACCCCTGGGGCTGAGGACCACCTAAGGATGGGACAGTGTTGGATGATTCCTCTCCTGTGAGATGCAGGGTGGGCCTGGATTGCCCTGAAGTCTCCCCTAGCTCCAGGATGCCACGATTCCCCTCCCTTCCCAAGCCAGGCCCTTTCCCTTCAAGAGCCTGTGGGGACAGCAGACAAGGGGTTCCGTGCCTCAAGTCCAGTGCCACACAGCAGACACAGGGCAGGGCAGGTGCCCCAGCCAAGGCCTCCTGACACCCAGTCCCGGGCTTGGGATCCTCTGTACCCGTGGGAAGCCAGAGCCTATACTCACCTCTGTCTTCACGTGGAGAAAATAAATTTGAAATAGGAGGCACCCAGAAGCCATCATACAGCTGCAGAAACTGGGTCTCAGAGAGGCCAAGTCATTTCCCCAAGATCCTTCAGGTAGGAGGTGGAAGAGCTGCTATTGCAAGCCAGGTCTCAGTGGTTGCAGAAGCCAAGCTCTTGGGTGACAGAGCTTGGACCCTGGCCATGGCCTGCTCTCCTTTGGGTTCAGGAAACCCTGTCAGGGCCCAGCCTGCTCTGTTCCCTCATGTCCAGAATGTGAGAGTGACTGTTATTTCCAAAGCCTCTGCATTTTCTTTCTTTTTTTTTTTTTTGAGACGGAGTTTCACTCTGTCGCCCAGGCTAGAGTGCAGTGGTGCGATCTTGGCTCATTGCAACCTCCACCTCCCAGGCTCACACCATTCTCCTGCCTCAGCCTCCCAAGTAGCTGGGACCACAGGCACCCGCCACCACCCCCAGCTACTTTTTTTTTTTTTTTTTGTATTTTTAGTAGAAACGGGGTTTCACCGTGTTAGCCCGGATGGTCTTGATCTCCTGACCTCGTGATCTGCCCGCCTCGGCCTCCCAAAGTGCTGGGATTACAAGCATGAGCCACCGCACCCGGCCAGCCTCTGCATTTTCTTGGAACCCAACCCCAGGCCTCCACAGCTGAGCAAGCCCTGCGCCTTTAGTTTATGACAGCCCTTAAGATTGTGGCTGACCTGGGCCCGTGACACACCTGTGATCTGCTTAGTGCCTGCTGGGATGTGGTATTGGGATTCTGGTCATGCCTATTAAATCTTACTAGCAGGCTTCTCATGCTGCTTCAAAGCCAGCCGCTCCTCAGAGCTCCCCGAGAGAGGCAGGAATAGCCAGGCCAAGCTTCCCAGAGCTCTGCCCGAGATGCCTTATCAAAGCACGTAAAACGCCCAATTTCACCAACAGCAGCAGCCGAGCCTGGAAAGCTGAGCAGAGAGCAGGGGGCCAATGGGCAGGACAGTGCAGAAGCCCAGCCCAGCCCACTCCCCAGCCAGCGGGCAGTCAGATCTACATGCAGGGCCTGGCAGCAGTGTGAGGACACTCTTGTCTCCAATGGGGCTGCATTGTTTCAGCACTTAGAGAGCTGAGTTTGCTGGTTCTAAGGCCCAAGTTATGCCTGGGCGATCATCAGGGGCTGCAGTGGGCCCTCCATTTGCATCCAGGGAGACAGAAGCCTTCCACCGTCAGCAGCAGGTCTTTTGTGTTTATCTCCAGATTGAGTCTCTCCTTGAAGATAATAATTAAAGCAGGCACATTAAGGAAGTAACAGCCCTGGGGCTCAGAGGGGGAGAAGGTAGGGTCTGCTATCGACCTAGGAAGGGCTTGGCCACCAGGCAGGAGGTGCTGAGGGGTGGAGGCTCCCCCACTACCCATGGTTATGCTCCGTGCATAACCATGTTCCAAGAGATTGCAGCGATGCTGTGGGTGCCCCAACCTTGTCTCCTGAGCTCTGGCCCTTCATAAATCTGCAGCCCTGGCTCAGAGCTTGACACAGGCTGGCCCTTGGCAAACACTTGGCAAGTGAGCGTCCAGAGGAACAGAGCCCCTTCCTCAGACCCCTTGTGCGAGGAATGGGTGGGCAGGGACTTCCTCTCAGTTCTCTCCTTTCTGGTGAGGTATCTCTACTCTGACACATTTTGGTGGGGGGAATTGGGATCCCTGCGCCCCCTTTTGTCCCTTGTCTCCTCTGGAGCTCATTCGTCAGCAGATGGGGCCCAGGAGGGAGGAGGCAGAAGGTGAGCCCCCTCCCTACCTCCCTTCCCAGGCAAAGCCATCACTCCCCAGGAGGAAGGAGAATGACTCAGACAGAACCGAGGTAGGGATGGAGCAGGAAATGTCACATCGCACAGCAGAAGACACAATCCAGCTCATAAACATTTCCCTGGTAAACCCAGGTGCTGTAGAAAGAACCAAGCTCAGTCGCACGGCACCCCTTACCTCGCCCTCCTGGTCCGCAGGAAAGCTCCCAGCCCTCCATTTCCCGTGTAGCGCCTGTTTCAAGCACATTGTTTTTTTCCTCTTGATGAAGTGCAATTCATTTAAGGCTGTCTGTTGCTTATTTCACATCTCCAAAGCATATTTTTCATGGGAAGGTCAATTCCGAGGGAACACTCAAGAGTCTTGGAAATTAAATCTATTCACAAGTGAAAAGTGGCCAATTGCTAAAGGAGAGGCCTTTGACTAAGATCCCTTGGACTAAATATTGTGAAAACTGACTGGCCATTCTGAGAGGGCTGGGGTGGAATTTACACAGGAGCTTTATGCATCTTGCTATTTTATTTTTTCCCAGTGGCTGAAGTTAAGCGTCATTTCCAAGCCCAGAGAGAATGATCAAAGGAGCCTCATCAGCAGGCAACTCAGACTCATGCAGGGGACTAAGAAGCCCCTTCCAGTCCACCCCCACCAGAAAGGGACCTCTGTTCCTCAAACCTCATAAATAGTCGGGAAACAGCCTCTGGCTCCCGCAGCCCCCATGGTTTGGGCTCTGGGCATCTTCACATGTACAGGGCAGTGAAGAGCGAGAGAACCAGAAATGCCTGAAGACCACGATTCCAAACCAGCAGAGACCATTTACAGAGATCTGGAGACGGCTTGGGGGTGGGGAGGAAGACCAAGGGCAAGGAAGGATATTCCTTTAATTCTAGAACATCTGAAAAATTGGGGTAATTTCCAAAGTTTCTGAGTGCTGGAGAGGGGCAAGGGTTCAATGTCTTACAGCACAGATTCAGTTACTTGCAGTTAACCGGAGTCCCAAAATATTAAATGGAAAATTCCAGCAATAAACAATGTATACGTTTTAAATTGCATACCGCTGTCAGTAGCATGATGTCATCCTGTGCTGTGCAGCTCTGTCCTGCCCGGGAGGTGAACCCTCCCTTAGGCATATCCACGCTGTATAGGCTACTCACCCCATGGTCACTTGGTGGTTGGCTAGGTTATCAGATCAACTGTCACTGTATCGATACTGCAATGCTTGTGTTCAAATCACTCTTATTTCACTTAATAATGGCCACCAGGCATAAGAGTAGTGACGCTGACCATTCAGATATGACAAAAAGATGCTGTAAAGTGCTTCCTTTAAGTGAAAAGGTGAAAGTTCTTGACTTATGGATGAAAAACAAGTGTGTATAGGGTTCAGTATTATCTGGGGCTTCAGGCATCCACTGGGGATCTTAGAACCTATCCTCCACAGATAAGGGGGCTACTATGTTTGAAGACAACTCTCCCAGCTCATCTCTATGGGGTTTTGCCTTCTCCAGTTTTGACAGCCCCATTGTTTTTAGCATTATTCATCACACATCCTTCATGAGCTGGCTTCTCTAACCAAGCTTGAGTATTTTGTCTCTTTTTACATTGTCTCACAAAGCTGGATGCAGTTCTCCAAGGAAGAACTTACAGGGGAGAATGGTGCTCAACACATAATTGCAGAAATAATTGTAGTGAAATTAAACACAACATTGCACCATTCAATACATGAAGCACTCCAACCTGCAATGAAGTTGCAGCCTCCGTATCAGCCAAAATGCTCAGCGCCCACTTTATGAAGGAGCAGGTGCTCACAGTGAAGGGAAGCTATGCCCAGAAATGAGCATCTGGGCTCACCCTGTGAGGTGGGAGCACCAGCTCCAAATAGCAGGAGTCCCCGCAGGGCTGTGCTGGGCCCCTCTGGCTGGTGCTAACACACGGTGGCGGGGCCTGCCTCTCCGTACTCAAGGCCGGGAATAGGTCATGGGTTTTCATGCCACCCCACATCAGGGAGGGAAAAGGGCCAACAGTAGACATTTTCCAGATGCTTATGCTTTTCAGGGAAAACAAATACTGTCCAGCAGGGCCTGCTGACATGAGAGGTACCATGGCCAGTGGGGAAATCGTGGCCCTTGGGGTCCAACAGACCAGGGAGTGAATCCCAGCACTTATGAACTTGGTGACCTTGGCCGATTACTCAGCAGCTCTGAACCTCAGTTTCCTTACCTGACACATAGGACTAATAATAACCACCCCGTTGTCTTTTTAAATGGAATGAGCTCATCCACACGATCGCCCATCTGCCTGCCTGGCATATGTGCATTCCCTTAGATCAGTGCTGAGGAAGATACAGAGGGTAGGCTGGGATTTCGAATGGCTGTAAATATGAATTTCTACTTTTTTCCCCCTCTTACCTCTCAACCTTGGACCAGGCCTCTAGCCGGCCTGGCCCTTTGTATTACATGCAACCCTTCCTCCCAGCAATAGGCTGCTGGACCATGGTTAGACAACAGGGAGGGGGCTCTGCACCCTCTCTGCGCCCATCCTGCTGGCTCAGTGACCACAATCCACTCAGAGCAAGAACAGCCCAGCTTCCTTGTGTCAATAGGCAGGAGTGGCAGACCCAGCTGTGGAATCAGGGAGACCATTTGGGCAACTTTGCCAATAATCTAGGCAGGAAATGATGGTGGAAGTGTCAGGAAACCTCCCCTCTGCAGGGTGGAGCTGTGGGTTAGAAAAAGTGAATTTTTTTCAAGTCTCCAGGACAGCGCCTGGCAGGACTCTCTTTACTTCTGTCCCAGGGGAGACTGGCTGGCCCCTCACATCTAGAAGGCACCTCTTCCACGCTCACTCTGTGCCAATCCTAGTGGCTCTGCCTCTGTCTCCAGACCCTTCTCACTCTTCTGTGTCCCCGCTTTGGGGACTGGACTCTCTCCAGTGCCCTGGGGTCCTCTCCTTGACTTGGCTATGAACTTGCCGATGTGGAAGACCATGTCATAATCATCTCTGCATAGAAACCAGGTAGTTGCAGAGTCTCAGGGAATGTGTATGGACTGTGGGACTTGAGGCTGGACCTTGGGAAGGGCCGCTGTGTTCCTCCACATTCCACCAGCCTGGCTCTTCAACAAGGACCAAACCCGGGAGATGGGTCAGGAAGGCAGAGCAGAGTGGGAGGGACCGGCATGTCCTGGGAGCCTACTGTGTGTGGAGAACTATGCCTTCGATCGGCTCCTTTGATCCCCACAGCAAGCCTGTGGGGTGAAGAGACTCGGCCCCATTTTGTTGATGAGAAAACGGAGACGTAGGGCAGTGATTCTACTCTACGATGGCTGGGACTCCCTGAGCCGTATGTAAGTCAGGGTCCCCCTGGCTCCTCAGCCTTGCAGGGTCTACACCCTGGCTCTTGTGTGGTGGTGGAGAGAGCCCCTCCCCACACAGCCCCCAGGAAGACACTCCAGAGACCTGGAGGAGGGTTTGGGAGGGAGTGGAAGACAGAGCACCAGGAAGCAGGCGGTGGGGGCTGTTGGGGAAACCTGGACCGGGGTAGGCCAGCCTGGGCCTGTCTTTCTCACACCCACAAGCTGGGTGGCCTTGGGCAAGTCACTTAACTCCTCTGAGCCTCAGTTTCCTCATCTACAACCCCAGGCCTTAAACCCCTGTCTGCCTGGGTTTCTGCGAGGGTAACTGAGCTTGATGCTTGTGGAAGTGCCCAGCGCAGAGCTTGGCCTGCTGGAGAGGAGCTGGAACTGAGCCTCCTGCACTAGGTGGAGAAGGCCTGGAACCAGAACCCAGGACTGTGATGCCCAACTCAGCCTTCCTGCCCTCCCTCCTATTTCAGAGGCTGCACTCAACTTCCTCCCAAACCCCTTGGACCCAACAGTGAGGCACACAGGGCTCCTCCTTTTGGCCACACGCCCTTCACAGGCATTCGAAGATGCCAGAATTAATCAGAGCACAGCTCACAGCGTTGACCATGACCACAGCTCCAGCAACAGCCCCTTTTCCATCTCCCTCCCTCCTCTGATGATCCCATATCCTGCGGTAGCTGAGCCAATCTGTGGGAGCCCCGGATGCTGGGTGGGGCCCCTCTGAGGACTGCCGCGCATTCCCTACAATGACGTTCATTAGTCTGTCTGACATCAGTCCTGTTCTCAGGTTAATATGTTTAACTTAATGAGGCATTTATTTCCTGTTAGAAAACTCCTGAAGAAGCATGTTTGCTCCTGATGAGCTCAGCTGATGAATAGATTAATACCAGGCTTGAGAAACTGACCGAGAAAACGAATCCAACTGGCTTCTTTTTCTTCTTTAGTTATGGACTGTGCTTAAATTAATTTGCGTAAAACTGCTCATTTCTTAGGGGGAGAAACAGGATCCTCATTTGGCTCTACGACACCTCCTCCACCTGCTTCCCCTGCCACCCTCAGCCCCAGCTCCAAGGATATGAAAAGACCAAGTGCCAGTGGATGACTGGGGGGAGAAAAGAGAGCTTGAAACTGATTGCAGGAGAGGCCAGAGTGTGAATGCGAAGCTCCTGCAGGGCAATAGAGGCCTCAAGGACATGTTGACATAGCTGGGAGTCTCGCTGGTCCATCTCTGTCATTTAACAGCTCTGTAGGGTTCCCTGCTATAGCCCCAGTGCCCACTCATAGGTATTTGTTGAACAAGTGAAAAAGATACTCAACAAATGATGACTCTCACTGTTATTCAGGGAATCACATGATGTTAAGAGGGAGGAGATGCCCAGTGTTCCAGACACATCTGGCGGGTGAGCCAGTGTTCAATGACTCTTGGCCCAAGAGCCAAGCATGACCCAAAGATGAAATTTTCTTTGACGACTATCATCAGTGGATCCTCCCACATCACTCTCCCTTTGGGACCCTTAGAACCACTGCCAGCCATGAGTAATGTCAACCTTTCCTCCCAGCAATAGGCTGCTGGACCATGACAATTCTGTGCCTGTTCCCCCAACCCTCCAAATTAGAGAATAGGGAGGAGCTCTGCACCCTCTCTGTGCCCATCGTGCTGGCTCAGTGACCACAATCCACTCTGAGAACAAGAACAATCCAGTTTCCCTGTGTCCACAGGCAGGAGTGGGTACGATTTACAGGCAGACCCAGCTGTGGAGTTAGGGAGACCAGTTGGGCAACTTTGCCAATAATCTAGACGGGAAATGATGGTGGGAGCAGCAGGAAACCTCCCCTCTGCAGGGTGGAGCTATGGGTTAGAAATAGTGAATTTTTTTCAAAATCTCCAGGACAGCGCCTGGCAGACAAGACAGTCGGCCCTCAGGAGATGGCTACTTATTCATAGTACATGGTTGGTGCTGAGGCTTCTGAAATGGAATCTCTCCGCTGTCTGGGCTCGTGTCTCTTGGCCCAGTAGCTGCATCTAATCTCTCCAAGGAGAGGAAAAGGATAAACTCAAGTTGCAAAGAAAATGTGCTGATGATGCATTGCAGGGGGCAGTCCTTTGAGCAAGAGGTAAGTCCCTTGTGCAGAGGCAAGTCCCTTGCGCGGGAGGCGCTATCTTTGCAGCAGTGGAGAAAGACAGAGGACAGGATTAGATCGTGATAAAACACTAACCTTTCACACATTCAACATGTGCTTACATGACTCTTCTCCAGAATATTTTGAAGGGAGAGTGACCTTTAAAGGTAATGTCCTCTTTCTCATTTTAAAAGAAGTAAGCGTAGGAGGAGTCAAAGTACATATGTGGAGACTCAAATTCTCCCACATCAAACCCTTTTCTCCTGTAATAGATTCTCTCGATGGGACTTTAACTGGGTGTAATTACATCGATAGCATGCTATGTTCACATGGGCGAGAGATCACACACATTTCTTTTGGAGTGAAACTGACAGCCACTTTGGCTCAGCAAATGTGGCTTTTAAGTGTATGTGTGTTGTGGGGTAGGAGTGAAGGGGAGTTCTGAAAAGAGAAGACAGCACCAGGGCAAATTATCTTCCAGCTTTTCAAAGGCAGCAGCTCCG